CTCCCCCTCCCCACCACCCTGTGAGAGACTTGTTTAAAAAGCAGGGGCTGCCAGGGCAGCGAAGCAGATCGGGAAGTGGTGGGGGGTGAGGATGAAGTATGGGGAAGCGGCGTTGGAGTCCACGCAGCCCACAAGTAGATTTTTTTTTTCTGACTGGAAAAAAACGTAATCACTGAACCAGTAGTAATGCCAGTTCAATCCCATCCCTGTATTAAACCATGTCATTATGAGGATTGCTTTTCACACCCTATCCCATTCCTTCACAGCATTTTATTCACAGCATTGAGACAATAATATTTGTAAACGAATTATTTAGGATATACCTTCTCTAGCAGGGCATCTGTTGCAATTATGAGTATGCCTCCCCCAAAATCCATAGAAATGTATTAGAAATCATTAACAGGCATCATATTGGAATAGTGTCCAGGAAAAAACAGTGTTCAAACATTTCATTCACTAAGCCAAGATAGGAAACAAAGCCCATTTATGAGAGAGAGAAAGAGCAAGAGAGACAGAAAGGAAGCTTGCCAAATGATATGGTCTATGCTCCAAAAACATCTGGGTCTCAAGAGAATCATTATATGCTGCCAAACTCCAGCTAACATTTTCTAAATACTAGTAATATAAATAATTTGGTATTAATAAATATCAGGTGAATGGTTTTGGCAGTGAAGTGCAGGATCATAAATTGATATTAACAGACAATAGTGAGTTAATGAAATAGACAGCAAAAAATTTTGGGAAACAAGTTGAGCTGGAGATGGGCCAATATTTTATTGAGAGAAAAGAAAGTAATGGTCTTTAAAAGTAGAATGGGACATGACTTGGCATTGGAATGAACATGGAGGACAAAGGAGGAATCAGAAAATCCTGTGACCCAGCCATGGAAAGGAGACAAAAGAAAACATAGGTTTGAAGAAACCAAATCTTTTTTTTCCTAATGTTTTATTTTTCATTCATAACATTTTGATTAACTTTAAAATAAAGATTGCCTATTTAAGATTTTGTACTAATTTCTCCTGGAACACATTTTCCCATTACTGTATATGCAATGATATTTGAATACTTTTCCAATATAAGAAATAAATTTAATATTTTGTAAGTACGCAGTGTAGCTTAAACATAATTGTGAAATATATCTAATGTTTGACTTTAGAAATTAGGAAAAAAAGAAAAATGCCTTATGTGAAGTCAAAATATTTATCTGTCTAGCCAGGACTCAGCAAGTTTTTCCACAGATTTTAAAAACAGAATAAATGCATTTGATAAAAGAAGCTGGCTGCAAAATATAGGAAAACGAGTAAAAAGTGCTAAAAAAAATGCACATGGAAACCTTTTGTTATTGTGTTATATTTACGGAAATAGGAAAATCAAGAGGTTTTAGGAAGATTATCAACATAATTTTGTTTTGTATTAATTATGCAAAGGAAATTTATGCAAATCATTTTTCCACATTATTTTCCTTATTTTTCTGGAATGAAATTGGTCCGAGCAAACAAATAGTATTACATTAAGGCAGTCTTAATCTAATTATCGTCTACATTATTTATTTCTCTTTTAAAAATGTATCCTTGGATGAAGCAGTACTCAAACTGTTTGCATGAAGAACAGGAAGCAATGAAATTTTCTGAAGCTTCAAGCTTACCTGCAACCAATAAGGAAATTATCAAATCCTTGCTGCAACAATTCTTATTATGCTCAACTAAAACATTTAACATCACTGATGCTGAATACAAAGTGAGCATTTGATTGTTTAGCTCCCTTGATATATTTTTTAATCAAGACCCAAAACTTACTAACAGGAAATCCCTGCTTTGCAGGCTAGACTGGGAAGTTAAGCGAAAGCAGCAGGGACAAAGCATTTCCATACTGTTGTAATGAAAACCACACAGGTATGTTGTGCTTCACTCAAGAGTGAGCATGTGCATCACCGACTCATAACAATATTGAATAAAAACATGGCTTAATAGTTTCATTACATATAAAAACATGACATTTAATAAAAACTTGGAGATGATTTAACTCAAAGAAGTCATTTTAGGATTCAGGTAGGCAATGGATTATCCATTGTACATATTCATTTATGAAATCCGTATGCCCCTGAACCCACATATACTCAAAGCAGTTTAAATAAGATTGACAATCAAAACATTAACAGTAAACATCTAACTAAAATATCCAGAGCAAACAACTTGAAGGAATAAAATCTATATAGTACATTTCTAAATAACTTGCCCATCTTAAACAATTAAACATTCACATTAGCATCACCGTAAAATAAGAAATTGGTCAATCTTAGTCCCACAGCCATATGCAAAAATACTCTTATTACAGTTCAGGGATCTAGCTGAGGTGGCAGGGGAAATGTTAATACCCTCTGATCAGACTCCACAGGTAAAAAGGAGTACAGATGTCCTCACAAGAATTCATTCTACGGTTCTTGCAATTGGGGGGGTGGGGGTGTTAGCAAAATGCTATAAAAATAGTCACCAATAGTCACAAAGGTCAGGCAGGAGATGTTTTTCCCCCGGGGCACTTCATAAACTAAACAAGTCTGCTGATCAACAGCCTTCCAATTCAGTAATGTAAAGATTAACTAGGGAAAACGCAAATAAATTCCGTCTCTTTTCCAGTCAATGCAAGTGTGGTTGCTCTGACAATAAATCACCCCGTTTTCATAATCCTTCAACATATTTGAGTTAACTGTACAGAATAGTCCTCAACCTATGACTACAAATGAGACCAGAACTTCAGGTGCTAAGTATTGTGGTCATGAAGTGTGTGGTTCTACAAGCTATTGAATGAAGATGTACACATGGCTTCCCCATTTTGCCTTTTTTTTTAAAAAAAAGACATGATGTAATGTCATGCGATGTTGTTCCTCTGAGGTTGTATTTACCTACTTTTAAGATCTGTTAAGGACCTAGTGATTTGTCCAGATACATAAAACCATAGAATTCAAAGAGTTTTTCTTTTTCACACAACTGTACCTAATGACCATGGCAATTTGCTTAAACCATCATAGTAAAAAAGATTGTAAAATTGGGTGTGACTCATTTAACAACCATCTCATTTAGAAATGGAAGTTTCAGTCCCAACTGAAGTCATAAGTCAAGGACTGCCTATACATAAAAAATAAAATGGTAACTGCACTTAATGTTTCCTGTGGCCAAAACAGAGACCTCAACTTTTAGATGGAAGATTAGAGCCAGAAAATGCCATTGTATTTATACAATTATGAATAAAGAAATATGTGAACATTTTGTGGCCACTATAGTGTAAGAAATGGGAAACCTAGCATTTTTATGGCAAACAAAGTGGTTTGAAAACGTTTATATAATGTGGAGTTACATGGAGAGTTACCAGATGATGAGGCAATATCCAAATTTTCTGTTTAATGACAGGTGATAGAAGCTGTTTACCTGAAGAAATCTATGGTGCTAATGGAAAGAGGCCTCTTTTAGAAGTCAAATTTGATCATACTCCTAGGACACAATATAACATATTAAGTCTGCTAAGGGCAGGCTAACTCTTCTGCTATGTGGCAATGCTTTGTGTTGATTTCTGAATGCTCTTAATGGCAACAGCAAGAGATTTCTCTTCATTTTTTTTAGAAAACTAATAAGAAATGATATTATATCATCACAAATAAAAATACACACCAGTCAATAAGCACATTACTCAGATGTTGATTATGGATGCTTTTGTCAGACATAGACAGGCACCACTTGCAAAGTACCCAAATGTAGATCATTGTGACTGCAGGACGTTTTGACAGTCATAAATGCCCACTGCTTGCTAAGTACCTGAATGTTGATCATGCAGCCACAGTGACATTGTGATAGTTGTAAATTCAAGGACCAGTCATAAAGTTACTTTTTCAGCACTGTTATAACAGTAGCTAAACAGGACTGTTGTTAACTAAGGACTACCTACATAGTCTAAGTCAAGGTGTCCAACCTTGATGACGTTAAGACCTATGGACTCCAATTCCCCAAATTCCCCAGCCACTTCCACTCATTACTCCCAAGACCATATTGGTAAATTTTATGCCCACTTATTATTGTTGGATGACTTTTCCACAAGTCACAACACAGACTTTATTTTATGCCAAGGAACAGGGTCTCACCAACAAGTTCAATTTAGCTGAAAATATTCTTTTATTATTTAGCTTATAGTTTCTTCAAGTCATAGTTTTATAGCTTTTTACATGATATTGTATACTCTATAATTATCTTAATTATCTTCAGACATTATTTTAGATAAGATGTAAGCATGTTATAGCAGGAGTCTGTGGCCTGGAGAACTGGGCTGTACTGTTGGAGGTGAGCAGCAGGCGGGCAAGTAAGCAAAGTTTATATTTGCAACTGCTCCCCAGCACTAGCATCACTGCCTCAGCTTCACCTCAGATAATCAGGCTTTAGATTCTCATAGGAGTGTGAACCTTACTGTAAACTGTGCATGTAAGGGATCTAGCTTGCATGCTCCTCCTCCACCTCCCAGTCCTTGGAAAAACTTGTCTCCCCAAAAACCAGTCCTTGGAGCCAAAAAAGTTGCGGACCACTGCTGAATTTCAAACAAACTGTTTGTAAGTAATGTCCATTTTCATCTAGAGTAGTTAATTTCATATGTGTTATGCCAGGGTCCCCAACCCCTGGCCATAGCCTGGTTTGGGCCATAGCCCATTGGGAACTAGGTTGCGGAAGTGGCACAAAAGTGTGTGAAGCTCCATTTGCTGCAAACAGTGGGCACATGTACGAAACCATCCTCTCCCCCCTCCCCCATGGCTACTATTGGTTCATGGAGTTGGAAAGATTGGGGACCACTGTATTATACAGACAAACACTGATGTTTGTGTACAAATATACATACACATACACACATACAAAACTAACTGAGTGTTACTCATCTAATATATATATCTAATATGTACGGTCTTCAAGTGTGACATCACAGTTCAAATTTTTAAACGGTGATTTTTGCCTGTTTTCAAAGAGAAGCAAAGCACTAGGTATTTTATTAATCACATTTCATTTACCAAAACAATTCTCTAAAGGCAGCCATTTAACTGCTCACAGAAAGAAACAAAAAAATTTACATTACTCGGAAGTAGAAAGTTGGAGAATCATACATACATTACAGAAGCTATACAGAGGGAAACAAAAAGACCAAAACTATAATTAGGGTAAATTTGGGGAATTAGAAAGTCTCACATCTACAGAGTTCCACCAGTCTCCAAATCCAGAGTTGTAACTGGTACCCATAGTGCATAAATTGAAGTTGAACACTTTATTTCTGGGCTCAGCAAACCAAGTTACTGGGTCTGGTTTCTGAAGATTACATTAAACTACTGTACAGATAAAGCCATGATTGAGTCAGTTGCTGGAGTTTTCAAACATCCTCAATCATTATATTAAAGTGGTTCTTCCTCTTTCTCCTGTTTTAGTCTTTTGGAAAGATGCTGACTAATGATTGATAGAGGGTTGTCTTTGAACAAAGGGTCTGATATTGTCTTGTGAAACTGTGCCACTTCCTCTTCCCTGGAAAAAGAAAAGAAAAGGGGGAAATGTATCAATTAATTTGCTGGCATTACTCTTTTTTTTGGGGGGGGGGGGGGGGTGGGGGAGACTGAAGTATGAAGGATGCAGAAATCTCCTAACAAAAGATGCACATTTTCTTAGTAAAGGAAAATATTTTGCTACACTATATTAATGTATTCAGATATTACTAACTTGACATAACCAAACTGATAGCATATGTACACTGAATACTGTAATCCATAAGAAGAGAGCTCTAAGAATTACATTTTAAATAAATCCTATTGCCAATGCTCTCAGCATATATTCTTATAATATAGAAAAATTAAAGTCACATTAACAAGGCACAGCTGAGCTCCCCTACTGTCCTATTGTCTGTAAAAATATATATTAATGTACTTTTACAAAATAGTTCCCACTGGCGTCTTCTTTACAGGAAAATGTTTCTACTAAATTAGAGAGCCTGATTTTGTGAATCTCTTCCACAGCCATATAATCCATTTCCCCAGAAACAAGATGCCCTTGAAGGTTATAAGCCCTCCAAAACAAATGGGATGGGATGTAGAGGGCAATAGTGTGTAGGGCATACCTTCCATTAATTGCTAGATTTTCTAGGAGAGGAAGCATTTTTTTTCCTATGGCACCTTTTGCCTTCCAGATATACTGAATAAAGCCCAACCAGAACGTGTTGGCTGGAGATTATGGGAGTTAAAATCCAAAGTATTTGGAGGGCACAAGACTGGGGAAGACCATTCTAAGGGTAAAACATCACCTAGAATATCCCAGTTTGTTCCCAATTTGGCTACACATAGTCCTCAAATTACAACCATAATTGAGCCTGAAATTACAGCCATATGTCATGGCAGTCATTAAACAGGTCAACATCTGTTTCCAGTTTTACAACCTTTTTTGTGGTGGTCATTAAGTGAATACTGCAGTCATTAGATAAACCTGTTTCCTTCAAGGGGCATTTTTTTGTTAGAAACCAGAATTAAATGGCAAAAATCACAAAAATAATGGTCACATAACAGTGGGACTGTGTAAATGGCTGTAAATGTAATTAGGTTGTCAAATTCCCCAAATGCAGTAATTTGCAGGCGTGTATGTGCAGCCATCAGAAGTTCAAACCAGGTCATAAGTAGCTCTGAGGAGATCTGTTGTAATTTTGTTTGCTAAATGACCAGTTGTTAAGCAAGTTGTACAACCTTCTCAAATTATGGGCACTTCATTAGCAGGATTTTGATTGCCCTGTTTATTTCTGTTTAATTTCTGAGCAGCACATTAGATCAAATATCAATAGTATATGCTGCACACTAAATGCTGAGTAAAGGTCAACATGTATTATTATCTTTAATGCACTGCTCAATGAGGGACACTGTCAGTGGCTACATGAGGGTTTGATAGCAACAAATTGCTAGAGAATGTAAGATGGTGCAAGTACTACTTGTTTTGAATGTGCTTTTACAGCTACTGGTTAAGAATGGAATCTGTACAAATTCATCACACTGGCAATATCCGGGTGCCGCTCCTTTTCCCACAGCAGAACAACAGAATCTGCAATTGTGATACAGCAGATTTGGGTGTCATTGCTCAACAGACTTTTCCCTATCAATACTTACAAGACCTTGCGTTTCTCGGCTGATTTCATCTGGTTGAAATTTGTCAACACTTTCTTCTTCTTCTGCCTGAAGATCACAAAAATAATGGTGAATGCACTCTACCCTTTTGCCTAAAGATCACAAAAATAATGGTGAATGCACTCCACCCAGTTTTGTTTTCCAAAAGCATCCATCACTTTTGAACAGTTTTGTGTTACTTTGAATTCCAAATAAATAGCATTTCTATGACAGGAAGAACCATGCTACTTGCTACCTTTGTGTAAGCATCTATTAACTTATCAACTGAATAGTTGCTAAATTACACAATAGCAAGACAATTTTAAAAATTTGAGTTTGAGAATTTACTTTAAGACAAATTGACAAGTTTATTGAAAAATGATCTGTAGGTATACATTCCTGGAATAACAACCTTAAAATTTCACATTTTCAATTATTTACCAATATTTATCTTCAATATTCAGGATAGTCCTGATTTTAGCTAAAACTTGCCTTCAGGAGTTTGCTCATCTCTTTTGAAGCAAACATGTGTACCTTTGTATCCTTTCAGTCAACAAAGCATTGGAAAATTTTGAAAGCACACTGCTTAGTAGGAGCCAACAAAAAGCTTATTCCTAATCTTGATTAACAGCAAAAAGTGAGAGGTTTTTTTAAAAAAGTTTATGTGTCTAGAACCTAAGCAAAACCTGGGATCTTGAAGCTCTCTTATAGGCAGTTACAGTTTGCTTAAATGAGCAATCAGAACTATCTATTAAAATACTCAAAGCACTCACATTTTATTACGCTGTTTGCAGAACTTGCTTACTGTCACCAGATCTGAAAGCTCAGGCAGGGCATCCAGCAATTGATGCATATCTCCAACAACTGGAGTAGCTTTCCGCTTTGCCTCTGCTTTGTGCTGCTGCTTTGCCAACTTAATGCTCTCAATTTCTATTTAAGGGAGAAACATTCATTAGGAAAGTACTTTAACATTCTGTGAAACTAATTTTTAAATTGTGCACTGCTGCCTGAATAAGTCCTGCCGTATAAATGCAATGATAAATGCAAAGCTCCAAAAATAACAAAATATCAGCAGTAAGCCAGCAATAAGATTAATGGAACAATGTGCTATGAGTCAATAATCCGAAGAATAAATGAATGAATCTTATAAGAGGAGGAGGGCATGTTGGATATGTTCACTGCCTTGTAAAAGTAATAATAATAAAAATAATATAGGTGGGATACAAATAAATAAATAAAAAGAATGAATAAATACACATACTAGGTTTTATGGCTTGGGAAAACAGTAGTTTTTGAAGTTGAAAGTTCATGTTTTATATTCTTCTCTCTAAACTAGGTAAATATGAGGAATGTGTTATCCTTGGGTTAATGTCCTTAGATGAGCCTTTGCTCCAACTATGCCAACTTTCAGAGAAACCTGACAAATATATAAAGAATTCTCCATTTTCAACAGGGTCTCTACATAACAGGTTGTCCTAGGGTTATCATGTCAATAGGGACCAACATTTCCACTGCTAAGCAATGTAGTTGTAAAGTACAAAGTAACATGACCGCATTGCTGAATGATGGCAATCCGAGCAGTCCTGGCTGCTGTTGAAATCCCAGGACTGTGCGAGTCATTGAAGTGAGCACCTCACATGATCATGATTTGGTCCCAGGCAAACAAGCTGGTGGGGAAGGTACGAATGGGAGAGTGCTAGAGTTTGGAGGGCAGTAGAGCGTACGAATGGGTGGGTGCTGCAGGCAAGTGCTATGGAGCATGGGTGGGCATCTGCTATGAAGCATGGGCAGGTAGCATAGGAGAGAATGCCGCAGGTACTACAGAGCCTGTGTAGGCAGGCCAAATAGTGGTGGAGGCAACTTGAGGGAGCAACTTGCAATCTCCTGCAACCTTCCCCATGGATTTTGCTTCTAGAAGGTCAGAAGAAAGGGTTGTAAGTGATGATCATGTCATCTTGGGATACTACAACCATCATAATTGCGAGCTGGTTGCTAAGCACCCAAATTGTGAGGAAAGTGTAATGGCAAATTTGAGGGCCGGTCACAAATCTCCTTGTTCAATACTGTGTAACAGTCATTAAATGAAGGGTCATAATTCAAGGACAACCTGTAAAAATTTACTATCTTGAACAGCTCACCATATTTAAGTTTTTCAGAAAATATCTGTCAAAACTTTTCTTTAAATGGGCTTCAAAATCAAAGCTTATGCCAATGGGCTTATTTCAACATTGATACTACTGCTTAGATTTTAAAAAAACCAAACAAAAAAAAATCAAATACCTGAATTATAACAGTCTGGTACATAATAGGTATTCTGCAATCTCTTGATTCACCCCTATTTTTAGTGCAAAGTAAATGAAACCACGTCCTTCTTAAATAAAGGTAAAGAGAAGCACCCCTCCCTAGTACTGAAAATAGACACGTGATATACTTAATAATTAATAGTTTAGTGCCCTTTTAAAGTGTTAAGAAACACCAATCTAAAGCGCTGGTTTTATTCTCCCAACTTGTAGCAACAGCTTTCTTATATGAAACAGACAGACACATTTTCTGTTCTTTCTTTTGGAAAGATTTGTATCTGATCAATAAAATTTTCAAGCAGAAACATTTTATGCAATTACTTCATTCAGGAAATAGCTAAAGTTTGTTCAGTCATGTTGTCAAGATATTTACTCTCTGACTAAATATCAGTAAATTGGGGAAAAATATTACTATTCTTTTAGCTTTGCTCTGACCTAATGGTCCTTTAAAGGTTTCTGGTAATTCAATAAGAATGAAAGACAGAAGAAAAAGACAAAAAATAAATATTTATTCATTCCAGGTTACAATAATGGATGACAGCATTTTTAGCTTCAACAGTACAAGCTCAAAAGCTTCAAAGTGCTAAAACAATCGGCCAATTTTACTGCAATTTATTCAAAGGCTTGATATAATTTTAAAAACTCCTATTACTGTAATGTTCAAAAGAAGACTGAAAAGTACATATTTTGAGTTGGAATATTAGTTCAATCTGGTTGTCTTTTTCTTAACTGAAGACCTAGCCAACATTATCATGGATTCCTCTCCCCGACCTTCTCTGTATGAACTATTGAGTGGCAAGCATTCTGTTAATTCAGTTAGTACATTATTACTTCCCTGGTCATTTTATTCCTTCATCCTTGAGTTATGCTGTTTTGACATCTCAACATACAACTTTCATTTGACCTGACATAGTTGCTTTTTATAGATGCTTATGAAAAATATGGACTGTATATACTTTTCCTTGGACGCACTCTCTTGGCTAGTTGTCAGTATTTTCAGCTCCGCAACACTTCTTTTTTTGGTCTGCAGTTATGAAGTTGTGTTGCTTCAAAGCTTTCCAAAAATGTCACTTACTTAAAGCTTGCACATACCTAATTTTGAATTCCTTTCCTATGAAATCGTTTTAGGGGTTAAGCCACAGGGTACATTTTTAATGGTCAAAATTTGAATTATTTTTCTTCCTTTTTCTCAATTTAACATGATTTATTTATGACTGGACTGGAATACATAAAACTGCTATTATTCCATTAGGATGAATAACTCTCCAGTTGTCAAAAGAAGTAGGACAAAAACAGAATGTCTTCTCTCCCCACCCCCCCAAAAAAAAAACCAAGCAGAAAGCAAATCAACCTTTGAAAATATATTTGCTTTGATAGTTACAGAATTCCATTTGCTGATCAAGTAATTAAATCTCCTAACAATTAGTTTACTACATTGATGTTTAAGGCAGTAATATCAACTGTTCTGTAGACATACAATTGTAACTGATTATTGCTGAAGTAAAAAAAAAACCTGCAACATTACATCAATTTCCTAATTTCAGCTACAGGGGATAATAAAATTTTATTTTCATATATTTCTTTCTTATGCACCGCCAACTCAGTCTTGACCCCTGGCAAGTGCCTGGACAAATCCCTGCAGTTCTCCTGGCAAGGTTTTTTGGCAGCATCCTAGGGCTGAGAAAATGATTGGCTCAAAGTCACCCAGTTGGCTTCCGCCTAAGGTGAGACTAGAACTCATGGTTTCACAGTTGCTAGTCTACTATAATACCTTAACCATCACACCAATCTGGTTCTCTTCTTTCACCTATAGCTGTATCTATAAAGGGCCATCTTGTGACAGTTCAATTGAATTCAAATCAATTACTTGGTTACACTTTTTGTAGTTTTCCTCTTATCCTTTCCCCTTCCCTTCAATAGTTCAGCTATTTCCCAAAGAATGGTTAGTACAAGGATAAGAGTACAAGGATAAGACTTTTTGTCAGACTTTCCATTTTAATTTCCTCCCTAACTAACAAACTGTAGGGAAATCTCTGCCCTCTAAAAACAGCTCAGCTGTTATTATTAAGTCTCATTATTTTTCTTCTCCAATCATTCTCTCATTACATCAGGTATTTATAAGTTCAAATCATAGATATGCTAATGATCTTCTAAGATTGAAGTGTGAAATTGGTTCTATAATATGTACTATGTTATTCATTTTATCATTATTATTCATTTTATTGTCCAGACATCATTAAAATAACCGTTATCTTTAATGAAAGCTCAGTGAGTTAACTGCATATTTTAATCTTGATATGAAACATCTCACTGATATTTGTTTGCAAAATCTATATAGCACAATCAGTACCCGGTTTAAAAATATACTTTGTCTATCCTGAGAAACAATTTTTGGTTATTAAAATGTCCTAACAGGAAATCGTTTTAGTTGTTAAGTGGCCTTCCAGGATTCCACTTATGAAGAAGCTTTAGATGTCTATGTTCCTTTGTTCATTCCACTTCCTTTGTGCTGAATCATGAAATCCCACATTTCTTGTCACGAGTGGCTCATTATTTTCTTTCTCCTTCTACTCCCATTTGCTTTATGGTAGCCAAAGACATTCCTCTTTAAGATAGCCAAAGCCTTTCTTTTTTGGGGGGACTATCTAAAATGTATGATGAAGTGCAGTGTGTGAAGGTAATGAATAAAATAGGGGCTTCCGGTGATGTCGCATCGTGGCGGTGCAAGGGAACTCTGTCCTGCTCCCCTGCATCTGTTTTTTTTGCCTTTGCATAGCCATTTATGGTGCGGTTGGATCCTGAAGGGATCACTGAAGTGAGGAGAGACTCTTGGAGCCAATCGGAAGTTGTGATCCCGAGGCAGTGAGGAAGAAGAGCCCAAAGTCCGAGGTGAAAGAAGTCAGCCTGATGTGGGCAGACCCGAAAACATGACGAACCAGCAAGGAAAGGAAGCAGTGAGGAGATAGCAAGCTATCAGTAGGAGAAATATCTTTTGGATTACAACTGGAACATCGTGGGAAGAAGAACTACTTGTATTACTGAAACCCAAAGTGAAAGGAGTGAAGGTGGAAAGTGGCGGCAGCAATCTAGTTTTCTACCCCCAATGCTGGGAAATAATGGAAATACAACTTTAAAAAAGAAAATCGAGAAGGAGAGACAAGGGGATATAGGCCAGATTCAGGAATCCATCAAGATAAATGAAAAAAAGATTAGAATAATTGAAGAACAAGCCAACCAAACGGAGATGAAACTAGAACTTATAGATAAAAATATTATAGACCATAACAAAGAGATGGAAGAGACTTTAATCCACCTCAAGATGGACAGAGCCTCCTAGTACCTTAGATTTCAGAATGTGGAGGAAGATAGAGAAGAAAACCTAGCATTGACAATGGCCAAAATACTTGCGGAACTCTTACAAAGAGATAAAAATGAGATAGTAAACGAATTGGATGACGTGTATAGAGTTTACACAAGTTACGCGAGGAGGCACAGACTCCCCCGGGAAGTTCATATCAGGTTCGCTAGGAGGTGAGTTAAGAATATAATCTACAGGATCTCAAGAGAAGAAACAATAAAATATAAAGGTAAAGAAGTAATTGTGCTGAAGCAGGTGCCAAGAGAAGTCCA